AGCTCAGAATCTGTTCAGCTCTATCGACATATTTGACCACGTTAAATCTGTGGGAGGCAAAGACACTGAAAAGTTAACTACACTAAGAAAGGAAAACAGGATCTGATCCCAGAGGCCGGATTCCTAATCTACGTTCTAGACCCGCACTGTCCAACTAGCCACACAGAGTTATTCAAATTTAATTTTTAGTTAGTTAAAATCAAATAAAGGTACAAAATCAGTTTCTCGGTCACTCCAGCCCCAATTCAAGAGCCTCATGTGGCTTGTGGCTACCCTACTGCATAGCAAAAAGGAACATCATCCTCACAGAAAGTTCTGTCGAAAGTGCTGAACTAGACATATTGTTCTTAACCTTTTTAGGGATCATAGACCCTAAAACTAGCCCCGGAAATGATGCACCCCACAAGTACAAACACTAAAAAACTGGAAGACAATTTCAGGAGCTTTGGGGACTCCCCATAACCCACCTATGGAGCAGAGGTTGAGTCCCTTCTACAAGACTCACAGCTGCAAAGGCAGTCTGTATTTAAATAAGAACTTACGGGCCGGCCCGTGGCTCACTCGGGAGAGGGTGGTGCCGATCACACCAAGGCCACGGGTTCGGATCCCTATATAGGGATGGCCGGTTTGCTCACTGGCTGAGCGTGGTGCTGACAACACCAAGTCAAGGGTTAAGATCCCCTTACCGGTCATCTTTTTTAAAAAAAAATAAAATAAATAAATAAATAAATAAGAACTTGCTTTCTTATCACATCCACTTAGACGTGGTCTTCTAGAAGTGAAAGATAACAAAAACTTTATTTTTTTGGCATTTGACCCAAGTACAAAATCTTTCATAATAAGCATAAGTAGGGAAATAAACATTTAAAAGCCATGGCCCCAAATGTTACCAAGTTATATATTAGGTTTCACAAATTTGCTAAGAAAAACATGACTAGAATAAAACATTACAGTCACATTTACTCTTACAGTGTGGACAGAAGCAACTTTTAGTGCCTCAGTTAGGATGGAGTGGGAAAGCGGACCAATCAGCCGGAATCTGTTCATTTCCATTGTCAAATCACTAAAAGAGAGAAAAAGTCTTAAAGTGGAAATTTCCATCAGATACAATGTCTGTGCTACTGCCAAAAATGGAGCAAGTATTCACTGAAAACGTTCATTAGGTTCACAGCAAACTCAACCATACCTGATTATAATGCCTGTGGCTGGAGAGATCCAAGAATACGGTTGACATGGATCTCTAGTTCCATCACCAACAACTTTTTTAATTGGTTTGGTATTTTCTCCATCACCTTTCCTTTTTCTTTTCTTGCCAATTTTCTCATCAGGCAGTTCAGTATGGTTTTTTTCTTGAGATGATGTCAGAAGCTCAGGGATGCAGACAGTTGATTTGATAGGTTCTGTACACTGGCACACTGCTTTTATTTCCTCTAATATGTCCTAAGGGTATTTTTAAACATCTACTTTTAAATTTTGAGATTTCAATATATTATTACAAATTTAGTTGTTTTAGTTTATGTTATTTTTTTTTATCCCTTTAAAAACCCACATTTTTATCCCTTTACTAATTAAACTAAGTTTATCATTATCAAAAAGTTTTTTGGGGTTTTCTAACTGAGTAGTGCTTGGCACTCTGAACAAAAAAAGAGCCAAATGTCAAATATCATGAAAACAACATGACCACTCTGACCAAATTAAGAAAAAAAAAAAAAATACAAAAAACAAGTTCAAAGAGAAAATTGGAGAAAATTTACACTCTATGGTATAAAAGCAGTGAGTGTGCAAAAGAAGGGAAGCTAAGCTAAATGTAGTATTAAAAGTCATCAGAATTACTCAAAATAGCTCTCATTATCAAATAGGCTCTAAAATAAACCAATGAATCAGTTTCAGGTATGGTGGAAGCATTATTCCAAACGCAGTATTTCAAACTATTAGCATAATAAGGTTGGTTTTCATCTCTACTTCTGCTTATGATTTACTAAAAACTGAGAGCTCCAGATCTGCTTCATTTTACAAGATGAAAAAGTTCTGGGGATCTAATGTACAGCATAGATGGTGATGAATGTGTTAATTTGATTGTGGTAATCATTACACAGTGTATAGGTACATCAAATCATCATATTGTATACCTTAAATATATTCACTCTGTCAATTAAATACATTAAAATACAAATTTTTTAAATAAAAAAGTCAAAAATTTTAAAACAAATTTGTTTCATTCAATATTCACACAACTTCCTCCCCATATTCAAATACTACACTATAAGCCAACTTTTATACTATTTACATTTCTATAGTATTGACTTCCAAAGGTAATTAAGAATATAGTGACAGAATGATGGGGAAATAGTCTGATGAATTATACCTGTTTAACAGCTGGATGAAGCCAGATCCACAACTGCCTGCTCTCAGAGGTGTCACCTGGGATCATCTCAGACTTCCAAATAAATGTAACAGGCCCAAGCATTTCTCTGGGATATTTATTTGCCCGGTAAAGCATGACACTCCCTTGGCGCTTTCCAGACAAGCAGTGAACTGCTGCAAACGTCAATCCTGACATAAATAAAAGCAAAACTCCATGATTTCAAGCATTGAGACTGTATCATTATTTTCTGATAGCCATATTGTTATTTATTGCATGTCTCCATGAGGGGTGAAGTTTTGGTTTTGAGCATCGCTTAAATCAAAGCATGGCACACAGTAAGTTCTCAGTGAACATTTATTAAATGAATGATTTAATAAGAGTTTCAAGTTTCTTCCTGCCTAAGTTCACTCCACTGGGATAATGATTCTCTCACTTTACACTTTATAATGTTAGAAATGATTTTTAAGTGATTCAAAATGATTTTTCTTAATTAAGCCACCCCAACTTTTCTTAAATTAATATATTCATTGGGAACAAGAAGTGTCTCACACATTTTTACATATGTTTAAATTCCAAAACACTTACAGAAGACACCTTTTCATGAAATGAATACATACACAAAGACTAAAATAGGACTCAGCTTCAAAAAAGTTTACCTGTGTCTATGCTACACATTTGAGAAAGTGCCTTTAGTATTTCTTCCTCTCTGCCCTTCAACTCCAAACAACAGTAGTAGGATAAATCCTGCACAAAGGGGGAAACACAATTAAATACTTAGGAATTTTCATTGGGCAAAACTGCTAAGGAGCCTAAAGTCACATCAGAAAACTTCTAGAGGTCCATTCCTATTAGGAAATATTCTTAAACTCATTTGAATCAAAATCAAAATGAATCTCCATTTGAAATGTAAGTTCCAGTGTCCTACTATTTGAAAGAAAATCTGTGTTTTATCTCATATGCATCGGCAAGTTCTGAGGAGGGAATATAATAACTGCTGCTTCTAAGTAAAGAACTATTTCCCCAAAATGTACCTAAGATAAGAAACAAGTATAGAATAAGCAAGATGGTAATAAATTCTTCAAAATTATGCTAAGATTGCTCACTTTGGTTAGCTAATTCAGGACCTCAAGATTATTTAACACTGAGCCCAGATGCACAATGTTGCAATTAATTTATCCCATATCCGCCCATGCTCAGTCTTGACCATGATATGCAACTTTGACTATGCAAGGTACAAGGAAATATGACAGTAATGAGAATAAGACCTTACCAACTTAAATAAGATAAAGAGAGATCAGACTGAGCTAGTGAAATCGATATGTTAAAAGTTCTTAATAATAGTTATGATGGTAGCTATAATAATAGTTATAATAATATATAACAAATGATAATACTTATAATAGTATTCACTGAAGGGTTACTGAGTGACAGGAACTGGGTTAACTCCTTACAGGGACTGTCATTTAGTCCTCCCAAAAACCTGATGTACCACGTATTGTTATCTTATTTGACAAACGAGGACACTGAGACACAGAGATTGTTACTTAAACAAAGTCATATAGTCAGAGGGTACAGAAGCCAGCATTCATATCAGGCTCACTGACCCTGAACAAACCCCTCTGTCACAGCACCATTAAGCAATTTCAGTACACTCAGCAACTAGAAATAACAGGAAATTATAGCTATGATTCTGACAAACTCGCATTAATCAGCGCAATCACTCACACACAAAGATTTCCTTCTTATCAACAGTGACTTGCTCTGCTGTTAATGACCAGATGAACATCACCCTAATTTGTACAAGCGGTGACAGCACAGAGAATAATGGTTAAGAGTGCGTATCTCTAGAGTCAGGCCACCTGGGCTCAACTTCATCACTTGTTGGTTGTATGATCATAGGTAAATTACTTAACCTCCCTGTACCTCAGTATCCATACTTGAAAAATGAAAATAACAGTAACAACTTACCTCTACTGTTATTGTAGGGATTAAATGAGTAATCACACATAAAGCATTTAAAACAGGTCTGGGCATATATCAAACACTCAAAAATATCTGTCATTACCTACTGTTTTTATTACTTGGGCTAGTCATGTTAGAAAAATATCTGATGACTTCAGCAAAAATCCTGCCCAAAATAAGAAGTAACTCATTCTTAAATAATACTGTCTTAAAATTCGAGAGATATCAGAGTACAGTGGAAAAAGCATAGGCCAGGAGAATCAGCTGCCCAGGTGCTGTCCAGGCCACCAACAAGCTATGTGACCCTGGACAAGTCACTTCATGTCTCTAAAACCCAGCTTCCTTGATGGAAATGAAGGATTTGACTACAGTCTATGTTCTGCTGCTTAGTTCTCAAATCAAAGACTCTTAAAAGATTCTTGTACTAATTTCATACCCATTAGAACAGCTATTACCATAAAATAACAATAATAATAATATGTGTTGAGGATATGAAGAAATTGGAACTCTTGTGCATTGCTGGTAGAAATGTAAAACTCTGCAGCTGCTGTGGAAAACAGTATGGTGATACCTCAAAAAATTACATTTAAAAAATGTAAAATAAAAAATAGAATTACCATATGATACAGCAATTCCACTTCTGGGTATACACCCAAAAGAACTGAAAGCAGAGACTTGAATGATATTTGCACAGCTATGTTCATAGCAGCATTATTCACAGTAGCCAAAAGGTGGAAGCAAACCAAATGTCCACTGACAGATAATGGATAAACCACATGTGCCATATACATACAATGGAATATTATTCAGCCTTAAAAAGGAAATCCTGTCACATGCTACAACATAGATGGACTTTGAGGACATTATACTAAATGAAATAAGCCAGTCACAGAAGGACAATTATTGTACGATTCCACTCATATGAGGTACCTAAAGGAGTCAAATTAAAAGACATAAAATAGAATGGTGGTTGCCAGGGGCTGGGGAGACGGGGAGAATGAGGAGTTACTGTCTAATGGGTACAGGATCTCACTTTGGGAAGATGAAAAAGTTCTGGAGACAGATGATGGTGATAGGTGCACAGCAAGAATGCACTTAATGCCAAAGAACTGTACACTTAAAAATGGTTAAATAGTCAATTCTATGTTATGTATATTTTACCACAATTTAAAAAAAAGTTCTTATTTTGATTATTCTGCTATATGGCTCTCAAGAGGTATCAGAGGACACCAATACCAATGGCTTTCAAAACTCGGCGAAGGCCATCCTGCCATTGAAAGATAAGCCCTTCTGCAAAGAGCACATTTAAAAATATGTATTGGAAGAGACAGAAAGCAATTGAATTAGCTACTGGGGAGAGAGGCAATCCCATAAATACCATTAAGAGGCTCTAAAACAAACTGTCCTCTCAGAGAGTTTAAAATTTAAAACATCCTTCCCAGCATCCCATTGAATGATAAACACCTAGAACAGCATTTTGAACACTGCTCGGGGTACAAATATGTTCTTAAACATCTGTTGTTGATAAATGACAACTAGATTAATCTACACTGAATAAATTCTGAACATGACCAACAAGATCCTGCATGACTGGTTCCTGGTTATTTCTCCAGCCTAAGCTCACCCTACTGTGAGCCTTGCTCTCATTCCCTTCATCTTTGTCACAAAGAATTTATTTCAATTCCTCATTCTCATCTGGCTTCCTTCTGCCTCCCTCACTCTCCCATCTTCTGCCTTGAGCCTGGCTGAAACATCACTTCCAGGGGAAGCCTTTCTGTCCTGTTAGAAACACTCATAGTACTACACACTTTTCCCCTACAATCATATATTTGGCTAATAATTAGATTAATGTCCACCTCCCCCACTAACTTTAAGCTGCTTCATCTCCGGCATCTAGCAAAGTGCCTCATGCTCAGGAATCATTTTTAAAATGAATATCCTCAGACTGCCAGTTAGCTCTGTTGGTTAGAGCATGGTGCCGATAATACAAAGGTCCAGGGTTTGATCCTGTACTGGCCAGCTGCCGAAAATCAAAAATCATACATAACAAAACAAAACAAAATTCTCCTGTCAGATAAAATGAATAAACTTATAAACAGGACTTTGGCATACCATAAACTATTCTAAAAGTCTCTTATCAGAAAGGATCTAAACAAAAAGAAAAAGAAAAACCCATTACGAGAGCCTACCTGAAGGAGGCAATGTTGTGTCATGGCTCGATAGCAGGCTCTGTGGCTCTTGGCTGTTGGCCTCTCTCCGAGGCAGTAGCCCCACTTCTTGACCATGTGAAACCGTTTGGCATGCCAGATATGCGTTTCTAACCATATGTTCTTCTTTTGTCTACGGTTAAATTCTAGCATCCGGTTTATGTGACATCTTCGAGCTTTGTGGCATTTATTTTTTGAATGTTCTTTTTTCTGATGTACAGCTTTCTCTGCCTATAGTTTCAAAAGAGGTATATTCTATTTTGCAAGCATCTCACCACAAAGTTAAAAGTTAAGATTTCAAACAACTAACTTTACATTAAGTGAAGTACCTTACAGACCCCATTACTTTGCTTAATTTTTTAACTTTGTGGGTTTTCCAATGTAAGTAGAGAGGGGATACAAGAGAAAGAATGAAGATTTTAGAGATAGGCAAACCTAGGAAGGAAGCACAGTTCTATCACTCACTAACTGGGCAAGCTTCATGGACTACAAAGATTAGAATATTTATGAAATGTTCAATACAGTAACACAAGCTTAATATGGCTATTACTATTAGGGAATGAGAATAAATCAAATGCTAGCCTCTTGTTGCTGTTTTAACCTGTAAGACTGTAACTAAAACCAAAAACTTGAGACAAAAAATATAAAAGTAGGGAAAACACATACATTTCATTTCGGTTAGGCTACTACAGACAGACAAATGCTAAATGCTATCACTGGCAAACAGACCTTACATTAAATCTAGAAAGTACAAAATTCCTGATTAGTTTTCACTCCTAATCACTTCCATAGCCAACCTAAACTTTTGTGAAAAAAATTCTTCTCCATTAGTTGGGAGCTCCTTAAGGATAAGGACTTTACCTTGTTGAAGTCTGACCTCACCACCAGCACAGTAGCAGCACACAGAAGGCCGCTCAATAAACTGTGAATCAATTAGTAAAGACCTGGGCAACTATACAATCTTAGAATGTTCAACTCCAGAACATTCTAAGCCAAATGTGAAGCCAAAATACAATTACACTTGCATAAAAATTAAAATCAAGTTCAGTTTTCAATTTTGAAAATGTCAAAAGGCAAATGCTAGGCATTGATGCTGAATTTTTTTTTTTTTTTTTTTTTTTTTTGCCTTCTAGCCCCAAGCTGGCCACACTTGCAAAACACAGAACCAAAACCATTTATCTGATAAGAGGGTCAGAATTTTATTTTAAATGTGGGAGAAGAACATCAACTATTCAAAAACAAGAAGGGGTTCCAAATGCTATGTTGAAAAGAAGCTGTAATATCCAACCGCCTGCTAGTTGGCTTAGGGAGGTGGCAGGAGGAGGTGAGGACTGGATAATGATTAAACCAAAAATACGCTTTAAAAAAAAGCATGTCATAATGACCATGTTGTTTTATGGTTTTCACTTTAGTAACTTCTGTTAGGTTAATACTTCTCAATTTCCTCTAGGGACTACTAACCTAAACCTCTACACTAAGTGAAACTCCTACCTCTTTCTGAGCGATCTCCTGCAATCGTCTAGGAAGGCGTTTGACATTGTGGCTCATGGCCCTTCGTCTCATGTGCCGTGGCAGAGTCTGGAAAACCAGTGAATTAGAAGACTTCTGGGTCACGGCTTTTAACATAGCACTGATTTCAGCAGCTCGCGCTTGAGCAAAAGTGGAAGCTGTCAAAGGAAATGACAACATCTTTAAGAACAAGTCTTGAATCAGTGCCTTTTCTGGTGAATTTCAGAAGGAAGACAGACTTGAAGTAGATGAGCTTGCAATTCACCCACTCTAACCCCCTGTCAGATGAACACCAACAGTGTGTCTGTATTATACCATTGTGAGATTATTCTTCTTCAACTTCTACATTCTTCAAGTTTTCTGCAAGGATTCAGTTTTACTTTTATAATCGGAAAAAAAAAGTTTTAAAAGAGTTGTTAAAAACAGGGCCTGTGTGCAGTATAGTACATGCAATATAATCACAACCATTTTTAAGTGCAATAATCACATTAGCAAACAAAGAACAAACGAATTTTTAACAGTGGTTTTGACTACAAGGGTTTTTTTTCTTAATATTTTCTGCTTTTTCTAAATATGTGATCATTATTATTAGTTTTCTTTATTGAAAAACAGATTCCTTTTTTGAAGAGTACACAGGGTGCTAGGGAAATTTAAATGAATTCCTCCAAGAAGGCATAAAGAGACTAGAAAGCACCTCTATGGTGTGTACAAGGAATATAAAGTTTATGTGATAATGAAAATGGGGGTGATGGGGGGTAAAGGAGATGAGGCCAGAAAGGGCCTGAAGACAGGTCCTTTAAATGAAAGTCTTGGTTGCCATTAAAGTGCATTAAATTTGGTTCCATCTTTGGAGAATGCCACGGTGAAAAGTGTAGATGGCACATTTGGGGAGAGTGGGGGTTAAGACAAAGAGGAAGAGTTCATGAAGACTTATAAGGAAATGGGTAAGAGAAAGGGAGAGTAGCAAGGAAGGGAAAGCCATCAGGCCCCAGGGAGCTATGTCCAAAGTTCAAGTTGGAGGTGAGAAGGACCTGGAGTGGAAGCAGGGGAGGACAGAATTGGGGGAGGAAGAGCCAAGACACTGCAGAGGGCCATGTGTTAGCACATCTGGCTGCACTAGAAACAAAGAGCTCCTGATACAATCAAAGTGCACTTCTTCACAAATACCTACCAGTTATATACTTGGGAATCTCCTGAGAAGTGCCCTCAGGACCTGCTTTCCATCCTCCCTTCTTTTTAAACATGACTTTGGAGGAAGACGGCTCATTGACATCAGGCTCAAGCAATGAATGGGGGGTCATTTTTGTTTGCCGCTGTCGTGAAGTTCCATAATGAGGCTCTAGTATATTTTCAAAAAGAAAATGTAAAGAAATATGTCACTCTTATCAGAGATAAAACTTACAGCGGAGCACTAACATTGCTGGGTGGCAACACTGATCATGTTTTCTTTAATTTTATTTTATAATTAACACGTAATAATTGTATATATGCATGGGGTACAGAGTAATAGTTCAATACATGTATATACTATGATGATCAAATCAGGTCAATTAACATATCTATCATCACATTTATCATTTCTTTGTGATGAGAACACTTGAACTCCTCTCTTCTAGTCATCTGAAAATACACAATAAATAGTTGTTTTTTTTTTTTTTTTTTTGTCTTTTTTTGTGTCTGGCAACAGATCGCAACCCTCAGTGTCGCGCCCGTACCGGACCGGGACCGGCAACGGGATCGCAACCCTCGGTGTTGCGCCCACACCTCGCTCAGCCAGTGAGCGGGAACCGGTCTGTATGTGGGATCCGAACCCTCAGCGGGAGCACCACTGCACTCCCAAGCGGCGCACTGTAGCAGTGCGCCACCGGGCCGGCCCCAATAAATGGTTTTTAATTAGACACCTACTATCAAATATAAGAACTTATTCCTCCTATCGAGATGTAATTCTGTATCTGTTAACTAACCTCTCTCTATCCCCTCCCCCCTTCCCAGCCTCTAGTAACCACAATTCTACTCTCTGCTTCTATGAGTTCACTTTTTTTTAGCTCCCATATATAAGTGATGATCATGTTTTTAATCCTACAACCTCCCTATAAAAGACGGCTATTACTATACCTAAGAGGAGGGATCTCAGGTAGGGAAGTGAATTAACTTACCCAAGGTCACAAAGCTAGTAGGCACCATGATAGGTAATCATGTCACTGCGATATATAAAGAACACTGGATATAACAGACACAAGGAAAATTTTCTCCATTGCATATTTACAGTGCAACATGAATTTTAAGTCTAAGCTGCCTGCTATGGTCTGAATGTTTGTGTCCCCCCAAAATTCATGTTGAAATTTTAACTCCCAAGGTGATGGTATTAGGAGGTGGGGACTTTGAGATATGATTAGGATTAGTACCCTTATAAAAGAGGCCCCACCACACTCCTTCCACCATGTAAGCACACAGCAAGAAGGTGCCCTCTATGAAAAAGAAAGCAGCAGTCACAAGACACCAAATCTGCTGGCATCTTGATCTTGGACTTCTCAACCTCCAGAACTGTGAGAAGTACGTTTCCGTTATTTAGAAGCTACCCAATTTAAGATATTTTGTTACAGCAGCCTGAATAACACTCCCTTAAATACAATGACCCACATGATTCTGTACATTCAGTCTTTTATCCTAATTCTCTGGCACATTCAAATTGACAGCCACTATGCTAAATTAATAAAGAAGGAATGCCTGGGCATTCAAACCATTCTGACTTTATAATAACATCAAATACCTGTCTGTGAATGGAGGGAGAGACCAGTGGAGAATTTTACAGTGTTCTCGTTTATTTTCATTGTGGTGTTAATTATTAAGCCATTATAAAGGGCTAGCCAGTTAACTCTCTTGGTTAGAAAATGGTTCTGATAGGCCGGCCCGGTGGCGCACTGCTATAGTGCGCCACTTGGGAAGCACGGTGGCGCTCCCGCCGAGGGTTCGGATCCCACATACAGACCGGCCGCTCACTGGCTGAGCGAGGGGCAGGAGCAACACCGAGGGTTGCCATCCCGTGGCCGGTCCCGGTCCGGTACGGGCGTGACACTGAGGGTTGCGATCCGTTGCCGGTCATGAAAAAA